TCATTACGGGAATTTTGAATTCCCCGGTCACAAGAAACGCAATTCTCTACGTAAGTCAAATCACGCCTCAGAACAGTTTAAGCAAGCTTCTCAATCGAGCGTTGTTCCTTTCCCGCCCTTTATCGTTCAAAGTGTAAACAATTTGCTATAAATGAGCATATGCGTCAAGATTGAGATTGCCATATTTTCGTATCGCAGAGACTGCCACGGTAACGATTATTAGTTTGCGATCTGACGTACGTAGACCATTTGTGTTTTCATGAGCGGGAGGCTTAAGTTCACGTGTCAAGAAACATTAGATATGTTGGTTAGGAGTCAATTTGAGTAATTTCCGTTGCACGAATCGTCTTTCTGTTAGATTTTGGCTAAGAAACATGTATCAAAATTCTTAACTTTGTACCTTGTCAAGTGGTCCAATGTAAGAACCGATACTATTAGTTCGCACGAACTCTTAATACTCCTTAAAAAGTTTGATAAAATGAACGGAATTTACCTGTTAGAACCAAGTGACATTTTGGGGGAAATGCAGGTGACATGTATTGATTTCATCTCTCAAAAATGTTGAAGGAAGAGGAGAATATTAAATCTGAGGAAATGTGGGTTCAGCCTCGTTTCTTTAAAACTTTTCTCTCGATTCGGAGCGATACCTCTTTCGCAGCATTATACAGAGCGGAGCATTGCGAGTTCACGCCTCGCGCCATCGCGCCTTCAATTTTTCGTATATGCAACACGGACATCCATCGAGCACGAATAGTTGTATCTCTGCGCCGTCATCAACGCGCGTGCTTTCCCTCACTCTGGTTCCCTATTATGTATTGTTGCATTTCGACGGTGAAACTACCAAACCACGTATCTCGTTTGCGGTGTTTAAAAATCTACGCTCACATTTTATTTTTTTGAAGTAGACCAAATCAATATCATTCCTTGAAATGTTCACGGAATTTTCTCCGCACAAAGAGGAAAAATCACAGAAATTTTCAAGACTGGACGTTAAGTAGTTTTTCATTTAAAAAATAAAGTTTGACAGGAAGTCTGTGACGTCGCAAACCGAGATACGTGGTTTGGTAGTTTCACCATCGATTTGTCTTATTTGTAGTGGCGCTTCAAGAGCTACATGAGCAACGCAGCCGGAAATGGGAGAAAAGTAATCTAAATATATGGAAACAAATTTAAAACATAATAAGTTTTAGATACTAGGTCGGCCATGTGGTTTTTAGTGTACTTTCCGAAGAAAATACACTATTAAAAAATGCAAACGTTTTTTATATTAGTCAATTGAAATTTTCTAGTTATCAAGAAGCAAGTATTCAAATTGGCTCCCCGCCGCAACACCCAACTTAACAAAAGTTAAGGCTCGATGAATCTTGACCAGATTTCTCTGTGATTTATCTCCCGATCGAATACTTTTCCATTCAATTTGTTTGACGCGCCTTCGAATCCACAATCAACAAACCGATGGAACAAAATAAACATCTTCAAACATCCGATAGGGGATTCGCACGCTACTATTTTATTCATGACTATGTAACATTCATTTACGTATTATCTGCGGGCAAGTATTGAAGAGACAACACACCTGTTACTCTTGTGCGCACAGATGTTACACCTTCCTCCGTAATTCGTGGAACTTAGTGCAGACTTGAACGACTGTACATTCAGACGGATGATTTCAGACAAAAGCTGAGTAAGCTACTTAATTTTGCGATAAATTTAAGAGAAATGAAAAAGACTGACGTTAAAGAGGTTTGCACGTTTGGGAAAATATTCTTCTCTTTATGGAGATTTACGACAATGAGTTTTGTACCGGCTGCTCTCTCTTTACGCTCTGTGTTTTTTTATTAATTATGGGAGCCTAACGAATACTTCCTTAGGTCTTTGTATCTATGCTTTTTCCTCTTTTTTTCTTTTCAAAAAAAAAAGAAAAAGAAAAAATGTTTGTTGGATACCAAGACTGAGACTGAGACTGGCTAAAAAACGAAGCTCTTTGAAGCAATTTATGTGCGAAAGGAGATTACTTGTTTACGTACTAGCTTTTTCAGGTTTCTTCTCGGCATTTGCTTTGAGCACTGAAATAATTGAAATAATACACTCTGAATAGTTCCTTAATTGGACGGTTCATTCCAAGAGGGACGTTTGCGTCAAAGAGACTTTCTAGCGCTCACGTTTTTTCTTTTTTTTTCTTTTTTTTTATGGGCAAAAAAATAACCAATTAATATATTAGCCCCCCCCCCCCTTGATTGGAGCAACTTCCTCGCGGAGAAATAAAGCGAATGGTGCGCTTGACTCGTGGTAAACTGCAATGTGCTTAAGTGCGCTTTAATACCGTTTGGATATTTACATTTGGGAGTCATCAGACATTAGTGTGGGGTCTCGCAAAAATATATTTTGTCTCTGGTCGCTGGGAATGATTTTCGATGAAAGATCAGCATTGGCAACGATACGGCAAAAAATTGGTTGGGTTTTCACGGTGCTTGGCAACCTTGCTTTGTAGCTTGGAATTCCAGGAATGTCATTAAACTCGTAAAGCTCGACACCTTATCGGAGCATGAAGAGAAGGGAGAATATTGTCCGAAAGATAGTTTTTCTCAAGACTCGCGAGTGTTTTAGGGTTCCGCTTTTTTTAGTGTATCGGACACCCTACGCGCAGTTGTCATATGTCGATGGTGAAACTACTGGAACATGTATCTCGTTTGTGGTGCTTAAACTTTCCGTATACCTATTTTAATTTCTTAAAGGAAGACAAATCAATATCATTCCTTTAAGTTTTCGCAGGGATTTCTTCGCACAAAAAAGAAAAATCAAGGACGTTTTCAAGAATTGATGCTGAGTAGTTTTCCAATAAATAATAAAGTATGACAAGGAGTCTTCAACGTCGCAAACCGATATACGTGGTCTGGTAGTTTAGCCGTCGATATTTTATTATGTGTTTGTTTTATTGAATTGGTCTTTGTCAGTTCTTTTTTCAGTCTTCGAACGCTGCTCGGTTTGAAGGATAAAATCCCTCGGAGGTCTATCCGAGATCGGACAACTTGCGCAAATCTTTAAATGCCGGAAATTTTAGACAATTTTTTTCAATTTAATATCTTGTGATTAAGAACTTTCATAAATAAAGGAGTGAATTACATCTTTGAATAAATTATTGAAACATTTATGAATGTAAACAAAACTAATTACGAGGTTTACGACGCTCGAAAACTGACCTCAAAAGTTCCCATTTCTAAGACCGTAGCATCAGTTTGAAGTTTTAAATAGGCAAAACTTTGCATGAAAAATCATTTCCTTGTACATATTCATGTACCAAATCCCATTCATTCATCAGAAATTTCCAAATCCAGTTAAAAATAAAATAGAAAAATCGAAAATTGCTGCTATCAAAAATGTCATTAATAAACAAGAGTTGGTAAAACAAACCCCGTGAACCCTTGTTTTTCCCGCATTCGAGCCTCAAAAGAAGAAGGTACCTTTTTATTGTTCAAGTCCTAGAAACTGACTTAGCACGCTTTCTGTCGCTGAAGACATGAGCTAAAACACAAGTGACTAGCTCATGTTTTCCATCATGGGGTCCGACTCGAATGGCTATTTTTCCATTCGACGCGACAAAAATACCCGTTCTGAAAATTTTCCCGAGTTGAAGGTCTCTCTTCCCGGACGTCATGCTGTACTAACTGAAGTCCACAATGATTGATCAGTCGGATCGATTGCTGTCACCGCGTCGCACAGTGCTTGCTCTCGTGTAGAAAAATTAACCACGAGCATCTCTAACCTGACCTGAAAATCTAAATGCAAAATCCTAAAATACTAAAGCAGGACTGTTCCGTAGAACCGTTAAACCGAAAGTGTCTCCCGTAAATTTTGAACAAAAAGAATATGGTGTAAAAAAGGGGGAAAATTCGGATTTAACTGTTTTCTTTTCAGCCCCTTTTCCCACCTCTTCGATTGTTTAATTACAGGAAGTTTTAGCCCGTTCGTGTAATTTACATCACGCGATGGGATAAGGATGAGATCTGATCCAGCGTGACGGACGTGCGACTGGTGAGAGACGGAAAGAGGGAAGGTTGACTTTGCGTGACGCCACTCAATTATCGGTGCAAGACGTCGTTTTTCTAAATTTGTCTATAGTTTTGATAAACATACTGAAAAGAAATGCTGACATGTTGCTCTAAGAGCAAGCAGCGAGCATGAAGTAATTTCACAGGGGCGGGTGGTGCATGCCTGCATGACGGTTGCATGACGAAGGGGGAAGGAGGGGTACCTTAAAATTCCAAAATTAAATTGTGATATAATTTATGAATGGTGCCTTAGGCCGGAATCGGTTTCATTCCCCTTCGTCGGGCACCTGCAGTCGATTGTTGAATGTTATCGAATAACCTTGATCGATATACAGCATTGTGAAGATAGGGAGTTATCGATCGAGCTTATTCGATAACGATTCAATAATCGACCCGTTGTCAGACATCTCTAGATTCCCCTATTTCCGGCCCCTCGGTAAAATATTCGTCGCTTTTTCCGCCGCGGAATTTTTTAAGAGGAGGCCATGATGGAAGACAGTGTCTAGTGCCAATATTGGCGAGTGAGATAATGTTCCAACTTTTTCCGAGCTCGAATCATGAGTACGCTGATCGATTATTTTATTCCAACTCGCACTGCTCCCACTCAAATTAGGTGACGAAATGTTCGGCGCCGCGCCGCGGCGCACAGTGGATCAAGTCAATCAGAGAGGTCGCATATAAAATTGTTGACTAAAACTGCAAATTTTGATGTTTATTTCGTCACATTTTAAATTTCGAGGGGTCTTTTCGGACGAAAATTTCACGAGAAAACAAATACAACCACTTTAAGAGCCTCAAAGTTGTATATAAACGGAGTTTTAAGCTTTTAAAGTTTCTAAATGTTGTCCGACCTCTCTCATTGACTCGATCCACTGTGCGACGCGGCGCGTCGCGGTGCCGGCGACCGATTTGGCTGATAAACAGCTGTCTGAGCCAAGGTCAGCGCAGTGACCTCTAAACTGAACACATCTATGTGATTGGGCCTCCGTTTGCGCTCCAAAACATTTGGAAAGTGAAGCTTATCATTACAGTTTAAAAATCCGATTATCATTTCTATTTCATAATGGCAAATTATAAACCCGTGACTCATGTAATTTTTGATATGGACGGACTTTTGTTGGGTGAGTTCTTTATCAGTTTTTCCATCCAATTTGCTCTACCGGGATTGAGGTTATGAACGAGAATGTCACGGTGAAAAATTCCACGATTGACAGCCGGTGTTTTCTTATTTTGTAATGTCCTTTTATTTTCGAGATAATATGACTTTTTAAGCGTTTTTTCTTGACTTTACCTTCCTTCCAATTTTTTTTTTGTGTCCGCCAACCTCATAATTAAGTATTTCTATACAACATTGACTAACATTGGACTTCAGTAATAAATAAAATGTTTTGGAGACGCTTTATTTGTTTCGAGGAGCTTTATTCGTGAAGGTAATAATAGCTGCAAGCAAAAAACCTAGAATATTTTACGTTTACGTTCAAACTAATTTTTGCCGCAGTTTATGCAGTTACACTGACTTATTACTTCAAAAAATCTCATCAAATCTTGGCGAATCTCTTTTCTCTGTTAGTACTAATTTGTGTAGAAAAGGCGCGAATTTTACGCTTTAGTGAATCGCATCTTTCGCGAACGGTAGCCTTGCGGTACCGTGCATCAACCAAAACTCGTTAGCCAACGGAAAGATATGAAAAACCATGAAAAAAAACCTCCTACCCCAGCACAGTACGAAGTCGTAGGGAACCAGAGAAAAACTCATCCTTCATCGCAAATTCAATCTCAACGTGAAAACTCATGATGACGTCACGCATTGACGCTCAAATTAAATAGATCGAAAGCGGAGAGGTTCGATTGTGCCAACGATCGGTCCGCGGAGTCAACGTTCTCGTCATTCTGGCAATCTGCCTGCCTGGCGGTTCAGTTTCTATCAACTAGGAACATGAGATAGAGAGTCAACGCACAGCGCGGGAATCTGGAGAGTCCGGTGCGAGGAGTAGACATTATTTTCGCGGGTTTGGTACGAATTCGACTTCAGAGGTTGATAAGCTTCTATACCCTTGCATGTATTTGTTATTTCTGGCATATTGAATACACAGTCACCTATTTGGAGCTCCTCCTCAAAAATAATGATTCTTTAAATTAATATCAAAAGAGAGAAAATGGAGTGAATAATGGGAGGGGTCTTTATAGGTGGGATATCCACACGGTTCCCCTTTTTGCCCTAAAGTTGATCAAAAATTTGAAGTGTCGGGTTAAGTTGCTGCTCGGAAAATTGTACTTGTTCATTTCCAACCTCTTAAGCTTCTAACTCACGATCAGTTTTGAAGTTGGATCTCATGATACATACATACAAGTCGCTTTTACAGCGCGCCCGGGCGCTCTGCGACACCTAATCGCCATTCTTCACACTGGAAAAAAAAACACATTGAATCTGGAGTCCAGACTCTTAAAAACATCGACAAGAAAAAATACTCTTGATTCAATCGGATTTTTGCTTAAATTAAGAACCAAGCCTCTTAATTTGAGCGGATTTCCTTTTGATTTAAGCAAAATCTGATTGAATCGAGAGTATTTTTTCTTGTCAATGTTTTCAAGAGTCTGGACTTTAGATCCAATGTGTTTTTCTTCCAGTGCATCTTATGATTATATTCATAATAAATATTCATTTTTTGATGTAATGTAATAACAACTGGACCGCATTTAGCAATAAATAACCACGATTTATGGCTTTGCTTAGAGACAGCGTGGGTACCATTAGTTTCCCTATACACATAAGTATTGTTACGGATGAGCTAGAAATTGTAATTCCTAATTGCAATACGTAGTACTACTTGAAAGGGCTCACATACTAATCATAATGTAGTCCGCAGGGACAACCTCGAGAAAAACAGCTGTCCATTCAAAATAATCAATTTAAGACTGCACTTGACAAATCTCTCTTTTCTTAAAAATGTTTCAGACACGGAGAAAATTTACAAGCAAACTTTCAACGAAGTACTCCAAAACTATGGTAAAGAATATACGGACGACGTGAGGGTGAAAGTTGTAGGGTGCGCAGCGAAAGACACATTCGTGATCATTAAAGAAAACACAGGGGTGGACGTCGACCCGGAACAGCTCAGGAAAGAAGCTCACGCAAAGTTACTTGACAGGATGCGCTCCGCACCGCTGATGCCTGGTAAGCATACGACAGTTGAACATTTTTCGCCCACGTTGTTGTCCGTTTGTACTTAGAGTATAAACTCATGGTTTTGGACATCTCTTAATTTTAAGGAAGAACATTGAAACCCACGTAACCAACGCAGCGCCGGATTAAGGGGGTGGCCCATGGCGGCAAATTTAGGGGGCGGCAAATTTTGGAATTTTTTTAAATGTAGGTATGAAAAAAATCTGATTCAGAAAAAAAATTATCCATGAGAAAAGAGGACAAAATTTCTCCTTCCTGAGAGTATAGTAATTTCTAATTTTGTCGTTTTTCGGTGATACAAGAGACATCATCTTTAATTAGTCGAGTTAAGAGAGGATGAGGAACTAAACACGCCATTTGGCCTGGAACTTAGCGCAGAGAGGAATGATGACGAGGACTTGATATGAAAAGGACAAGCCTTCGGCGCGGCGGTCGGTATGTAACACATATTAGCGCCTACAAGACTGCATGAATACTTCAGCCATTGCGCCAAACACAGTGCGGTCAGGAGCGGTTGGCGTGAAACGCGAGCGCCTACAAGACTGCATGAATACTTCACGCATTGCGCCAAACACAGTGCGGTCAGCGTGAAACGCATAGCGCCTACAAGACTGCGTGAATACTTCACGCATTGCGTCCAACACAGTGCGTTCAGTAGCGGTCGGCGTGAAACGCATAGCGCCTACAAGACTGTCGGAATACTTCACGCATTACGCCAAACACGGTGCGGTCTGCGCGGCGCAGCGGCTGAAGTTATAATTATGATACAACATTTATGTTAATTGTTCTTTCATGATTTTCTGGTTCATTTCTTATAAATGGAGAAGCAAAGTTCTGTGAAATTTTGCTGTATTGTTGACAGGGCTCTCGCAAAAAATGTATTCAACACGAGTATAGGTAAACGCGTCTTATGCACCCCTCCCCCTCCGGCACGTTTACCTGATGGTTTTTATTGATGTTTCAAAACGAATGAGAAAGGGGCGGCAAAATACAGGCGGCCCATGGGCGGCACGTAGGTAAATCCGGCCCTGAACCAACGAACGGGCTTCATGAAGGTATAAGTGGACCGTGTTAAGCAGAAAGGAACCAAGCCGTCACATCAGCTATCGCCAAAATAATTTTGGGCAATTTAATTTTTACAATAGAACGTTTTTGTGGATTCTGTTGAAACTTTTATGGAATTTGCTTTGTACTATGCAGAAAATTCACTAAAATTTGCACAAAAATACGCGCGAACGTTTTCATGGAAAAAATCAAATTGCTCAGTTAAATTTGGCAATAGCTGATATGTAAATAGGCTATTCATTGAGAAGTAATCACGCAGGTTTTGGAGTATAAAATGAACACCTTTTCCTTCGTGAATGAGCAATTTGTTGACATCACGCATTCATTACCTATCTCATTTTTAATTTAAGAATCAATACCTTTACGTTTAATTATTGTTAAGTTTAATTATTTTTAATTACAATTGTATATTTTACTAATTATTTCAGGAGCTGAGCGTTTAGTCCGTCACCTGAAAAATAACAACATACCCATTGCCGTTGCAACAAATAGCGGGGGAGAAGAGTTCGAAGTAGTTTCTGCCCGTCACAAAGAACTGTTTGATCTTTTCCATCATATTGTCTGCGGTAGCAGAGATCCTGAAGTGAAAGTAGGGAAACCTGCACCTGACATATTCTTTGTTTGCGCTTCAAGATTTGATGAAAAACCCAAACCAGAACAAGTGAGGATCTCTTTTAATTTTTAATAACATTTTTGCCGTCTTACAATCTTTCCTTCTGTCTAACTCGTCTTAATAAAAAATCACCTTGGTGGAAGAGTCATTAAACACATTTTTTAAAGAAGGAAAAAGAAAATAAGATAATGCAGCTAAATTTTGAAAATTGGAGTTTTAAGCGATAATCTTAATCGTGAGTGAAATAAGTAATAATTTGTTAAGTGTGAAACTTTTATTCACATAGTTTTACAACGAATCATCGCTATTTGTACAGTAGAGTCGTTAATGAATTTTTCGATGGAGTTCATTTCGGGTCGAATCATTAAAAACTCAACTTTTCCATGTTCCTGGAAGATTTCAAAGTCAATTTATTTTCAGCTTTTCCATTCAATGTTTATTTTTTCTTTACTGTTTTAGTGTCTGGTTCTAGAAGATTCCTTTAATGGAGTAAAAGGTGCCTACAGCGCTGGAATGCAAGTAATCATGGTTCCTGACGCAATTATACCTCCAGAAAAACGCACCTTGGCAACAAAAGTCATTTCATCGTTAAACGACTTTAAACCGGAAGAATTTGGTTTACCACCCTTCTCTGATTAGACATGAGCTTGGAAAAACATCTAAATCAGCAGGAAACGCTCGTTTAGACCACCTGGATGAACAAAAGTCTTATGAATGTTCGAAATATTGAATATAACCAAAGAATAGAGGCGATATTTGAGGGGATGAAGACATATTGGTTCACCGGTAAGGTTCTTACAAGAGCCCTCTAAGGATTTGTTTACGTACCTACTTATGATCGCCACTTCTCTCATAATTTTTTTTGGTATTCCCTCATTTGTAAAAAGCTTATCATGGATGAACAGAAATTATGGCTCCTGAAATTATGCGGAGAGGTAGTTAAATACATTTTGTAAGACCGGAAAATGTACTCATACCGTACTCTAACTGATTTTACAACCAGATAAAATGTCACCAGACATTGACACCGCATGACATTCGATGAGAGACACCAGTATATTACTATAAGAGTAGGTAAAAGAATGGTCAGCGATTGATTGGTATAATAAAACCCTGGTACCCAGCTAACAATGATAGCATATTCATATAATCAAATCTATACTCCAAAATTCGTCAATGCTTGATCATACGGTGGATAGAAACCCAGATTGACGTATGATTGAAAAAAAAACAAGGTTTGTTTCATAATTCCGATAGATCTTTCTTGTCGATTGCTTAGCTTTTTTAGTGTACATTATACTTTAAGGTCTAATTTTAAAGTGTCATTCCGTACTATTCTTTATGTTCCGGTGAAAATGTGTTTTCTATTTTAATGTAGGGATTATTGTTGTAAATAGTCTCTGCAATGAAGAAAATAAAGTATTTTGAGAGTTTTACCGTAAATAGATTTGTTTCTTTTGTCCCATTAAAACTGCAACTGTTAACCTATTTATAAAATTCAGTACATTTTTATGATTACCTACTTTTGTATACTTTATCTGTCATACCATACATAGAGAATCTGGGTAAACAGGACGAATTCAATACTGATTTTGTTGATATGGTACATTTAAAGAGTTGCTTTGCATGGGTACTTGGATATTTACGTGTTACTTAAAACAAAGATAGGTCTTTCAATCAAGTAAAAATTAAGCTAAGACAGGAGAAATATATTAGTGAAAGTTAGAATTTCAGAAAATCAGACTACGTAATTATTCTTCATCATAATTTTACGAGGAACGCAGTGAAAGGATTGAAAAGGCCAACAGCCAAGTTTTCACTGAGAAATCTCATTCCCCGTGTCCATCTATTCAAACTTCTTTAAACATGAAAGTCCGATTGAGTCAAATGGGGTTTCATACCCATTTCTGCGTGCTTCACAAACTTACACGAAGCTACGTGAAACATGCTACGTGATTTTTCTGTTCAAAACTGCTTCTTGAATGTGCGCTGACTTTTCTCTGACAAGTTTACAAGTTTACAAGTTTTACAAGGAGGAGAAATCTCGTCAAGACTATCTCGGGTCATTTGCCAAACTTTTAATGTATGTCCTCTGTGACCATTTTAGCTATGAGGGAGATTTCGGATTTCTCAAGAATGGAATTAACTAAAACTGATGTAAACTAAAAAATTTAGGTTTACACTCATGAATTGCTACTATGAAAATTTCCTTGAGATATTGGTGTTGGGTCACGGAAAAAGAAAGCACGGGATTGTTTGATGATATGGACTGGACATTTCCAATTAATTGTGGTAGTACCCCAATTAATTAGGTTATTGACCCAAATGCAGTGGCGTGGCGTGCTTTGCGATCTATCGATATTTCACCATTTGAAGCAATGGTATATATAATCGATTATTAAGGGGTTCGCCTGTTAATCGATATTTTTCCATAGGTTTAAATGACCGATCAATCGATAAATCGCAACGCACGCCACAACACTGTCCAAATGTTGCGATACTACCACAATTAATTGGAAATTTCCATGTCATCCCAGAAATTCCAACAATTCAGGAACATCAACTAATATTTCCTTCTCACTTTCCAAATGACTCCGACGTATCTTCGGCAGCACAAAATGAGGAAGATGGTTGAAGGAGTTTCTGATAATAAAGCATTTTTCCGGGACTGAAATACAACATTTGGAATGGAGATGCGACATTTTTGCTTTGAACGGGAGGGTAGTTTTCTGTCACGCACTCATGAGTCCGATTCAGATCCACCACGATCCAGCCCACAAAGTGGGACTCAACTCGTGCCCCCAAAAATTAACCGCCTGTTTATGGCGCACAGTGGAACGATTCAATGTGAGAAGTCGGACACAATTTGGCAATTTTAACAGCTTATAATTCCGTTAATTCAAAACTTTGAGATTTTAAAAATGGATCCTTTGGTCTCCTCGTAAAATTTTCTTTTAGAAGCACTCCTCAAAGTTCAAAATATGACGAAATAAACATCAAAATTTGCAATTTTAGTCAAATATTTCATGTCCGACCTCTTCGATTGACTCGATCCGCTGTGCGGCGCGGCGGGCCGATCTTCATAATCTTATTTCGCATCAATGCGTTAAGCCCCGTCGAGCGTTCACGAAATTCCGGCGGATCCCTAGCGTGCATTCCTCAACGGGGGCCAAACTAGCCTAAATAACCCCGGAACAATAGTAACGAACATCCGATGAGAAATCATCTCTCCGGAGACAAAAACGCCCAACCACGAATCACGAAGAGCTCTTTCGCCCGAGTAACTTCACGTTTTCCGAGGCTCAAGGAAAAATCGAGCTACGCAAGTGATAAATACACCGATCAATGTCAAAGAGACGCGTGTAAATTTTGAGTTGAGCCCTACAGCCCGTAAAACTCCGTTCTTGCCAGGGCTCACGAGAAAATGAAGTTGCGCCGCTCCATCGTTGAACCATTCAACGATAAAGATACGTAGCTCGTTTAGGAGATGAGCCCTCTCTCCCATATAATTGCAGACATTCTGAGGCTCACGTGAAAAACGGAGTTACGTCCTTTTGTGAGCGAGATGAGGGGTAGAAGGAACCGCAGTGCCGCAGCTGGGATTAGTCCTCCACTTATGATAACACGCTCCGCGACCGCCTCAAAGCGATCTCGTCGTCTTGTGAATTTAATGGGCAACAACTAAACCGATCTCCCCGCCGCCGCGCCCCTTTGAAGCCCCCACCGCCCCCAAACCCCCCGACGGTTGCACCTAACCATTTAACTTCCGTTTAATGATCTATCCTCAGATTAGGTCAGAGGCGCGAAACCAACTGCCAGTTATCCGTGAGTAATCTCATTCCCGCTCTTCTTCGCCCCCCTCCCCCCGGCGCATCCGATTCTCTATCTCTTAAGCTCGACCTTTCTCACCGCCCCCGTCTCGCATCACTTTCATCGCCCTATCTTTGGACCTGTCCGTTACCGCAGCGGCCGAAGACGCTCGAGAGCCATCTCACGGTGGAGTGTTACGCTGCCGTCCTAAGGAAAAACGCCGTATGAACCTTCAAGCGTTGCCGAATTTCCTCAGATAAAACACGAATTTCCTGGAAAATTTGTGAACATGTTTTTTCTTCAATTCTTCAAATGATTTTGTGCGCAATTTCCCCTGAAGCTCCTGAAAATTGCAAGGAAAAATGGACCGAGTTTAACGGAAAGGAACCAAGTCACATCAGCTATTGCCAAGTTTAACTGGGCAATTAATTTTTTTATGAGCGAACGTTTGTTCGGATTTCTTTGAAAATTTTAAGGAATTTTCGTACCATGGAGAATTTTCACTGAAATTTGTACGAAAATCTGCAGAACCGTTTTCATGTAAAAAATTAAATTGCCCAATTAAATTTGGCAATAGCTGATGTGGCTTGGTTCCATTCTGTTTAACGCGGTCCAAATATTCATAACGTTACGCAAAAATAAACATTTTATCGAAGAAAATTTGGCAACTCTCGAATTTTCATACGGCGTTCTTCTTAGCGTGGCAGTACAGAGGAGAACAGAAACGATGGAATTTTCGAAAACGAGTTTTTTCGAAATTTGATTGAGCTGGATGATTCCAATTCGACAGAAAAGTTTGCTAAATGTGTAAAAAACGCGAGTGCAAAGAGTTTCGTAGGTGGAAAAAAAAATGACGTCATTTCCGATAAAACAGCTTCAAGTCCAGAGGCTGAATGGTCGGAAATATCAATGGAGTATGAGACGGATTGCCTACATTTTGCAAAAAAGAACCTAGAGCATTCCAATGTCACTGAGATTTTGCAACTTTTTTTGCCTGGCAAATATAAACTGATCATTTTAATAAGTTTTATCTTTACTTCCAATAAACTATGAATTCAAGACGAGAATTACCATTGTAAATTTAATTTTTGCGGGCTTCAGTTTTTTTTTTTTTTTTTTTTTTTTTTTTTTTTTTTTTTTTTTTTTTTGCAAAGAATGTGAGTTGCACAATCCTAGCAACATTGGAATGCTTTCGATTCTCTTTTGCAAAATGCAATCTAAATACTTGTTCGCTCTTAAAATTATATAATGGGTTCCTTTCTATCTTGAATAACTCTTGGATGAGAGCATTTACACAACTCGTCACGTACACATTTCGTCATTTTTCTCACGAAATAACGTAACTCCATTCCAATGTTGCCAAATTCCCCCTCTTAAATTGCATATTCATCAAGAGAATCTTGGGCATTTCTAACTGAAATTTTCACTGATTTTTCTCTAGATTCCATGCAAAAATCAGAAAAATTTTGGATAAAAAATGCACACGCGCATTTCTCTGAAAAAATTATCTGTTTGAGTCAATTTAGCAACCTTGGAATCAAGTCACGTTCTCTCCTCCGGGATACGACGAATTTTATGATAGACCCTCTTACACGCAGAGAACGCCACGGAAAATGTCGCAATGCGAGGTAACTCACACGGAAAATCTCCATGAAATCCTGTCATCCACTCGGCCAGATCAAATGGGTAGGTAGGAGGTGCAAAGGTAAAGAATCCATATTTCGACATGAGCCCCAATTTGCAAAACAGCGCACTATTAGCGAAACTCATTCCAGAGCATGGTCAGCAATTCATCTCCGCGGTAGCGTAAAACCTATTTCCATTTGAGCACGAGCCTCGGAGATGGCGCAGTCGAATACGAGTCAAGGGTCATGAGAAAATATTCAGTCTCCCGCAGAGATGCGAGGCAGAAGGGTGAATATTGCTGTTGGAATAAATGACGACTGCCTATCGTTGGTATCCATTTTTTGCTGTTTGTTTGCTTTTATTTTTACTTTTACCGATGGAGCGCGCCGGTTGCGGTCGATCCCGTTTCGCTGCGGGGGGCGCAACAACGATGAAATAAACAAATATCAATTGTCAATTTGGTTGACCGCCAAATGTGATTCCAGCCCCGGCGTGGGGGAGGGGCGAGGCTCCGAATGCCAGACAAACTTTTACAAATGAGGCTTGCGGAAATTTCATATTGAAAAAAGAAAATAAAAGAGAAAAATAAAAGTTTTTTTCCCCCCTTACACACAACGCGATTTTAAGGTCGGAATGGGGTGTTTAGAGACTCTAGTGTGGACTGTTTTCACCTACGTTTTCCATGCTCAAAACTTCACGTAAGCTGAAATCAGGGAGATTTGAACTTATAATGCGGCATACGTGAATGCAAACGAATGCTATCCGCGCTGGTAATTTTGGACGGATAAAGAGACGGAAGTGACAAAAGCGGAAGTGCCTTTAATTCTGAACATGCAACACGCACATCCACGGAACACGAATAGTTGCGTCAAGAGGCTACAGTCAACTCGACTTTGCCTGAAACAAGATGAGGGTTGTTTCTGGAGTTGCCATGCAGATCTTCGTTTCGCGTACTGCTCCAAGGGAAAATTTCATTGTTCAAAATTAGGCTGTTTACTAGAGAGTTA